CCAGTTATAAGCAAGGCAAAGTCAGCCTTTCACTTACAATCGTAATCGAGACGTAAACTTTGAATGATTCCACATAGTGGAAAACAATTGTGTGGTTTTAACTGCCTTAATAGGCTTAGAAAACAGCATTTGATGATAAATGCTGACAAAATTGAGGCCACAATCATATTTCATGTCTTGATTTGTGATTGTTGATTATAAGAGATCTTTAAAGGTATTGTCCCTATGCAACATTTCTCAGACATGGGTGTTAATTGGTTTGATTCACAAATTGCATGCACACAGTCAGTCATTTTAGAGTTCTGAATGAACTGAGGGCCAGGAGACACTCTGGCCTTTCAGGAAATGAGTTTGATGCTTCTGTGATGAATTGTCACAGGCTGCAGTTGCCATAAAGGGTTCACAGTCTGCACAACTGGTTGTCATACCGGAGTGTAAAGACAACAGCTGCAAAATAATTTACAGTAAACCCATAAATTCCCTTAAGGAACAGAGAAAAAGAAATCAGGCTTAAGAGGAAATTTAAAGTTGGAGAAGCCCATCCCTTTTTTCCTTGAGGTATTTGGAGAGGATTTTGGGGACATTTGTGGACTGATTAGGATTTATCTTGGACTTGCTTGTCTACGTTTACACTGGTTCATCCAAGGTCAGTGCAAGTTGGTGTCTGTGAAAGTGCCGCTTGGTACTGATTAGGAGATAATGGACTATGTGATCCAAATCGCTGTGTGACTGTATAGGAATCTCTTTATTCTGTATGATTGGACTGACACAAATATTGCGTTAAAACCTAACAAGTGAAGACCCTTTTTAAAATGTTCCGTTTCAAGTAGAAAAACCCCTGAAACGGATTCTTGACACTCTCTCCAAGCCCAGGCGCACTTCTCTTGCACAGACTGTACAGTGTGTGCATTTCTTCCCTGTCGATCACATTCTGTTCTTAGCTGAACTCCTGCACTCAGCTCTAGCTCTCCTGACTGGGTAGTAATCTTCATGCCTCCTTTACAGTGAAATATGTCCTTTTTCGCGACAGGAGACACCTCTGTAATCCACTGTATAATAACTGCTTACAGGGCCCGTGACTAACCTCCTGATGTAGGCTGAAACTGACACTCTGAAACCTGTTGTTAACCTGATGCTGTCAGCCAGCTCCCCTGTTATTACTTTCTGTGGCTTCACAAATTGAACATTAACTATACAGTGCCTCAGCCCTTCAGGGCATTTCAGAATCTATTTCTTGTTAAACGCTTTTGTTGTAACACAAAAACAGAATACCAGGATTGAATTAAATACATTAGTACAAGCTTGTGCCATCAATTTTTTTTAAAAAGAAATTCACATTTTTAATCTGGGCAAGTAAATTCAGATCAGCTTAATTGGCTTGTATTTCTGTTGGTTGACGCAAATATCTGTGAAAGCCCCCTTTTGGAAGCTTAGTCTTGGGCATTTTTTCTTTAGTTTTTGTGTACTTTTATTTTTTTTCCTAATTTCCTTGGCAATGTTCTTGTTTGTTCCTCTGGAAAAAAAAAATGTTCTCTGAGTGATTGCAACATGAAGAATATAGGTCTTGAGAGGGAGTGAGAGATTGATAGTAAGAGTGAGGGAAAGATTTCTAAAAATGAAATCGGAATCTGTGTTCTTTTAAGGCTAGTAAACAGTGTCTCAGACATTTGATTAAGCTGTTGAATTTGCCTTTTGTAATGTGTACAAAGACTTTTTTTTCCATTTGTAGGACACATGATGTGGCAAGTTGCCATTCTGTTCTTTGGTGCAGGCATGATCTTTTTTTTCCAAGATTTTTCCAAGATAAGACCTCGTGGACTGTAATTATGTCAGGTCCTCTTTGACTCCTGCTCACACTGCCCCCTTGTGGCATTCCCTAGGAACTACACAAGCTTTCAAAGTGATTTAATATCAGTATACTGTATTTGACTTCAGCCTGGCCTCCCAGCTAGGTAGTATCTTGTCTTATCTTGCCAGGATAGACTCTGGCTCCCCTGCAACCCTGTGTTGGATAAAGTGTTTGGAAGTTGGATGGATTGAATTTAACCTTAATTATTATAAATTCCCTGTATTCAGCCTGATCCACTCACTGCTGTTTTGTTAAGGATTGGGAGTCAACTCTTTGAGTCAGCTTGGACTGTAAGCAGTGTCTACAGTAGACGTATACCGCCAGGCATCTATGGATCTGTGGGTGTCCTCAGAAACTGAGTAGGGTGTCCCCAGGATTTCCTCTCGTGTTTTTCTTACACTTGTCATGTAATCTCGCAAAGTGGATCTGCTCTGACGGTGCTCACAGCAACATTGTCAGCCTGTGGTCCGGCTTTTAGTTTGGTGAAATGCCTTCATATGAACTGGCTTATCCAGAATCTGCCAGGCTGGCCACAGGCTGGTGTCCTGGGGGAGCTGTGATGAAAATTACTGTGCTTCTGCGCAGGTGGGATAGCGGCAGCTGTGTTTATCAGTTTCCTGCTGGCTCTCTACGCTGTGCTGTGGAAGTGTATGGTGGCTGCGCCCAAGAGGTAAGATGATTCCTCAAGTATTCAGTTAATTTTAAATTTTAAACCTTGTGAAATGCAGATGGATGCATTCAACAGGTTTGTTCCTTCATGCATATATGGAGCACATGTGGGCTTAGCTCCTAGCACCTGACTTGCCAACATCTTAACAAGATGTAAAGCACCACACAGATCATTCTAAATGCTGATTTAAGAGATCCCATTAAACATCATAAGATCTTCGTTCTGGTTTGCAAAACATTTTCTTGAAGAAGTACTGTCATAACCCCACTGTTGTGAAACATATTTTAGAAAGAGTTTGGTGTTCTCTGTGGCTCAAGGTGAGGATTGAATTACATAGACGCACTTTGAAGTACAGTATACAGGATTTGTAAGCCAGACCAGATTTAATTAGCATGAAGAGAAACGGGTATAAACGGGTAATTAGAAAGCGTGAAATAGGATATCTTTGTAAAATTTCAGGCATGAGAAGAAAAGGAAGGCGAAGACTCAGCAGCTGAAGGGCCCTCTGAAGGAGCTGATCTGCTGATTCTCCGGCACTGGGACCTGTGCTGTTTCACTCTGGCACAATTCTTGTCACCTTGTAGCTTGCTGGTTTCTCCAGGCTGACTCACAGACTGGCTCTGCTGTGCCTGCTGAGGGACGAGACCTGGCTGTGTAACCCTGCATGAGGGACTGTTTAAAGTCCCGCACAGGCGGCATTCTCTCACCTCTCCATTTATGTTCTGCCTGGAGGGGGAGCAATCATTTTCACCACGGCACAGGAGCAAGACTGCATTAGGAAACGGCTCCCGCCAGGGCAAAAATGTAAAGCTTGTTCGGTTTTAAGAAAAATCTTTTGGTTGATGCCTCAAGCTGACACCGCGATTGCATTGTAGGACAGCCATCCTTATAGATTCGTATTGATACTCATACACCAGAGAGAGGGATAAATGAACACTAAGCAGGGGAAAAAAAACTGGGGTTGATAAAGATGCAGCGATTGATATGATCCCTGTACATTAATCGGAAACGTTATTGATGGCAGTAAAGCGTGCTGGAAAGCCATAGCTAGCCCTGGAATGTGCTGTGAGGCAGTCTGCTGTGAATGCATCGTCCTGGCCAGAGGCAGGTACTTTCTGGGAAAGTGTGGAATTGCAAGCCAGAGATTAAGAAGGCTTCACGATGGAATTTCAATAAAAGAAATTTGTTCATATGTGTTTATACCCAGCAGTCATGCCTGCCAGCTGCAGACCTCTGGCTGGGTTTGCACTCAAGCCTTACTGTATATAATGGCAGCATCCATAGAAAGATTGAGTCTCCTCACCCCAGTGCCATGCTGTTTTCCTTGGAGAGGCACCAGCTGAATAAGGGTTCAGTTTCCCATCTAGCACTGTTTTTTTTTGTTTGCAGTTTGATCATGGGATTGTTCAATGCATGTGTATTTAGTTACATGTATAAGCTGTGATGTCGTGTACACACTGAGAAGCTGTTGTTAAAGAAAAAGTCTTTCAGTAAACTGTATTGTCAGTTCAGCAAGATTACTGGGGATTTAATAAAGTTAGATATTTTGGGTTTGTGCTGCTACAGGACAGAAGTCATATCTGGTGTTATGGTTGACTTTCAGGATTTTGGTTGTGTTGGTTTCTGTTGATTTTCCTTTTTGCTTTAAATACCCTGTTTTGTATAGATGACTTCTAACGGTCTTTGGTTTTATATGGGAATGTGAGGTTTTGTGAAAGTGGAATGAATATGAGAGAATGTCCTGTAAGTCAAAGTCAATAGTTCAGTTGGACTCCCCACTGTCTTTGGCATATTCCTGTGCCGAGTTACTGTAAATGTTGTGGATTTCTTCCACCTCAAATATGCTTTACATGTTATACTAGAAAGGAAATGCTCCCTGATAAATAAATCTTTTTTCAAGCCCTTAAAATGTATCTATGGTTGTATCTAGAATACCCATGAAGCCAAGATGCAGTGGTTGCAATGATTTAAATTTAAAATGAATCTGCACTTTAAGTGGGCCCACCTACATGATGTGCATTGCAAGGTGCTGCTGCATTAAAGAGGTGAGATACTTTTCCAGACCTTTTTAAGACTTATTTGGGATACGTCTTGTCGCTTTTGTAGGATGTTTTTAGAGGATGAGACTATCCTTTTAGACATAATACAAAATACATTTAACCTTGGTTGTAGGGTACAAAGTCTTTAATTCAGTTTAATTTAGATTTTTTTTTACTCCTTTTAAATTGACCAGGTTTCTGTCATTGAGGGGGGGGGGGAATCATCTATTTTCTGTGTGAAGAGAACTTTCCAGTTAAAAAAAAATGAAGAGCTCATCTCTTAAGCTTCTGAAACTGTCAGAACATTGAAGCAAAACCAGATGGGTACAATCTACAGCTCTTAAAAATAAGCTGTTTTTTGTTCAGCCTCAGAAGATCAAAATAATTTATTCTGTTTTCTCTCGGTGAAAAAGAGTGAAATTGATGTACAGAATGCTCAAAGTAAGTATACCCCCCATTTTATTTTTGGTGAACAAACCCACTAACAACTTTCCTATTTATTGCATAAGTCATCCTTATATTCTTGATTGAACTTTGATTTCAACATGGTCATACTTCTTTTATTTTTTCTTAGTGTGATTTTACATTTCTTTAATTACATTCATTTGTGGTACAACAGCTTATATTTTTCAAGTATACTGGCAAAATGTACAACAGCTATGCTGAAGTGACAGGCTTACTAGTTCCTACAGTGAGATAGTACCGATGCCTATGTTTTGTGCTTGCTCATGGGTATAGGGACCAGAGTGTCATGAATTTAAAGAGTTAAAGTTAAGGAAAATGAGTCAAACTCATCACTGATGGCAGTCACCGAACTTTACCCAAAATGGGCTCTATTTTTAAACATGCTTCAATGAATACTGTAAACATTTTTCTGTTCAACCTTTTCTCTAAAATTTCGTATATTGAAATAAATCCTGTATAAATATATGAACTGTTTTTTTTTTAGTGTTTGAAATCCACAGAGTGGTGCAAATGTAACACAATGCATTACAAATTCAGTTGGAGCTTTGTGGACTCACACATATCAGATTAATGTGTAGTTGTTGACCGAAGTTACTACTCTACTGTTACGTACAGTATATATGTACATAGTGGTAATAATGAAAGAGTGGATTAAAGTGTTTTACATTGTATATGTAGAGAGGAGTGCAAATATCTGTGCATGACTAATTCATGTGTCAATAATTTTTTCGAGAAATATTACAGTCCCTGTTGTAATAGCAACACCACTGTTTAGGTATAAAATAAATAGTCTGACTTAATTGCACAGTTTCCACTACTATATACAATTAGTAACATTTTTCATTGCATTCGTGGTGTCTTTTATATATGTATGATGTGAATTTTTAGAAGTATCAAATTTCTACTTAACAATGCAGCAGAACATAAACTATTTGAGAACACTTTTACCACAGTGTATGAAGGTCTCTTCAGCATTCCCATTTGGATCTTCTTGTGTGGCGTTTTCCAGGAGTGTACAGTTTGTTTCCTGTTTCCACATGCTTGTATCCTGGGGTGGTCGTATGGGTATTTTCAAGATCCCATGTTCTCAGAGAAAAATGAGGTATGTGCAGTTAAGAGAGTTTTGAGAAACAGTTTTTTTTTCCAGTGGTTTTCACAATTTTGAGGTTGCCTGGACAGGTTCCCCCTCTACAGTATTGGAGGGACAGGTGTGTGGTTGTCCATTGTTCATTGCACTTGTGTCACAATGAAGGTTTTTTTCAGTGTCTTTAAATCCTGCGTTTAAGTAGACGTGATTGACCCGTTCAGAATCCTTCTGCTCTTTTTTCTCCTGGAGTTCCAGCAGCACAGCGCGGTTGACATCAGGCCCTGGAAGAGAAAGAAAATTATTAAAATCAGACCTTGACCTGGTCATGTGGACTGATTGATTGAATGTTTATTTCGGGAACTCAGTGCACAGATGGTCCCTGGTGTCAAGTCTTATTAGCTGCTCAACTGCTTTGAAAGCCCCTTTTATCCTTCCTCAATTGAATTGATCTGCCAGAGCCAGCTACATGAAGAGTGCGGATTTACTACTCTTAAAGGCAGTACAGGTGGCTGTGGACAAATATCACTTTTCTGCTCAGTTTCCCAGATCACCACTCATTGCTAGACTACGGTGTTTTCTCGTTCTATATCTGGCTCTTCTCTAAGTTACTGTGCATTTTCTCCAAATAGGGCAGTTATGTGATGATTCACAATTCTGGACCTGGGGACCCATACACCTGTTCATTTACCTTACAACTGAGGTCTTTAGTTTAAATAAATCCTCACCTGAACCAACACATTGCTTGCTTAGGACTTTGCAAGTTTTTTTTTCTGTGCAAAGGCTGTAGATTTTAAGTTCTGTAGGAAATGTAATAGTTAAAAGTCGACCTCCTACATGTTAAAAAACTGAAAACAAAGAATTCAATTTTAAAATATGAATGATCTAAAGGGTACAGTTATTTAGATGCGTGTTCAGAGGAAACAAAAACCAGGACCAGAATTAGGAACACCTGGGTTATGGGACTCCACCTGTGACTGGGAATGGGGTGAATATACAGTAGTCAGTCACTACAGGTCTTCTAGCTTTAGCAAATAAACACAGTGCCTGATTCATGTACAGGATGGCTGGTTGGAACTCCAGATGGGGGGAAGAAATAATCGATCTCTCTGGGTAGTGCAGGGAAGGAGAGAAAGCTCTCTTACCAAAGTAGCTGAGTAGCACGGGCAGGAAGACCAGGCCATGAGCCATGCCCAGCAGGGTGATGACCAGGTTGAGGCGGAAGAAGAAGAGCTGGATAAGTTGGGCCTTTGCAAACGCCAGCACCACAATTCCTGGGAGATTCGTCATGGCAACACCAGCAAATACCTGAGAGTCCGAGACATGAGACATACAGTTAGGCCGAGCTTCTTAGGATACCCTAGATGAACTGCCCTCAGACTCCTCTCTCTTAATGACTGTTGTTCTTAATATTAGTTTCTTCACCATCTGCATCTCATTGTTTTAATTATTCCTTAAGTTCTATGAGCCTTTCTTCATCCTTCTTAATGGTAGCGAAAACGTGTTTTGGTGCATTCACAAAGCCTAGCTTGTAAACAGGCTCAGTCATGGGAAGTAAACCTCCTAGCTTCTGCAGCCTCAGTCATTGGAAGCCCATAAGAATAACGGGATATTTGTTTTGTAGGACTACATTTGGCATGCGTGTTGTTACAGAGCAGTTTTACATTTTTGTGCCACAATTGGACATTCCTACAACTGAAGCAACTCTTCATCAGTAATTGTCCTTCAGATTTTAATAGCTGATTTCTGATTTGATCTTATGTCTGCAGGATGACACTTCAGATATTAGATCCTATGAGAAGTGGCTGCTGGAGACTTTGAGATCTACAGCCGACATGATCAGTTATCAAATGAGCGAAGGGGGTCAAAAGGTCTGCCCTCGTTTGTAGCCCTCGTGGAGCTCTTGTTCTTGCCCTTCTAGACTCAGTCTGCTCAGGAGCTACTGTAAGTAAATGCACACTGACTTACGGCACTGCCCATGTTGGCTGTGGCCTCCTTGGCTCTCTCCACGCGGGTGGTCTTGGTGCTGATGGCAAAGGTGCGGGTGAGATGGGAAACGAACTCCACTGAGATACCGACAGCCTGGAAGAAACACGCACTTCCATTAGGGCACTGCACGATACGACTTGATGTAACAGGGGTTTGTTCCAAGTACTCATGATCCTCAAGGGCACTGAAGAAGCCAACTCAAGGGATTTCTTCAGAATGAACAGCGAAACATGAATTTGAGCACACAAGTGGAATGTAGCCTTTGGATGAGACGTAAAACCGAGGTCCCTTACTCTCTGTGGTCATTAAAAATCTCAAAATGAGTAGGGGTGTAACTCTGTAATTTCCCATTGGCCCTTACCAATCATGGCCTCCTAATAACCCCCCTCTATGAATTGGCTACATTACTCTGCTCTCCTCCCCACTGATAGCTGATGTGTGGTGAGCGTTCTGGCGCACTATGGCTGCCGTCGCATCATCCAGGTGGATGCTGGACATTGGTGGTGGTGGAGGAGAGTCCCCATTCTCTGTAAAGCGCTTTGAGTGGAGTGTCCAGAAAAGCGCTATATAAGTGTAAGCAATTATTATTTCAAACCGAGAACAGGAGGCACTTCTTTGCACAAAAGAACAAAACACCCAGCCATATTTTTGAAGCTGATACCATGACTTCTTCAAGAAACAGCTAGATGAGATGCTTGGATCAATGAACAGCTTCCAAATGGGCTAGATGGCCAGATGGCCTCCCCTTGTTTGTAACTTTTCTCATGTTCTCATTTTAATATAGTGCTTCATACAGTCCCATCATAGAATATTGTATTACAAACAAGCAGAAAAAGCCATGCAGTGTGATTCCATTTACAAAGGGATAGAGATAGTGATATACTGTATATAAGACACAGTAAACATACTGTGATCTTGAAAGGAAAAAAGTAATAGGTTTATTCCATGCTGAAAAGAGACGAAAGGAAACACATTTCGGTTGTGGAGCCTTCTTCGGGCGTAAGAAAGATAGGGCTATGCTGTGATCTTAACTTACATTTTAGAATGAGTGGGTTTGTTTGCATATCTTGTATCTGTCAGGAAGTACCTACACCACAGAGCTTGCTGTTTCAAGTTTCTTCAGGGCAGGGAAATGGGTCCAATAAATTGAACTGATTTAGTTTAGAGTGGAACAAACATCACAACCTGCTCATGACCCTCAGAATGATGAATAAGAAAGAATGCCTTACTATGATAAGTTTAAACTCTGATTTGCCTATAATTTGGCAAATGGAGCTACACATTGGAGGAGTGGTACTGTGCACACTAATCACAATTGCAAAATGTTGCACTGTGCTCTGAAACCTGTTACTTACAGCATCTTATCTAAAAAAAGGTGATATGGAGTTGAATTATTGTATTGATGAAATCCTTCCAATTAATAAGCCCTAACTACCCTTTAAATGTATTTTTGAATTCATTTATCTCTTACTTATCTTTTCAGTAAAACCATCGCTCTTCAGTAAAATGTAGTCTAAGAAACACAAGAATTACTTCCTACGGTTACTTAAAGTTAACCTCTGACCTAAATGTACCCTTAGTGGAATTCAATAAGAAATGAGCTACTGTACACGTACTTTTTTCCATACATGTTTTTTCCAATTGAAATATACTTTTAAGCCTGGATGAAGATGCCTGTTCTTGAATTGATAGAACCTGGATAGAAGAAACTCTTATCAGAGCATGTTCAACACCAAAGGTTACAGAAATTCTTGGTCTGGGGAATGTGTGGGTTGGTCATACAGTATGTGAACACAAGGTTTTCCAAAGTAGAAATTATGTGAGCTCAACAGCAGTTCAGCAATAGGCTCTGCAATAACCAGGTTTTCACTATGGCATCCACGAAGATAAATAATGATTTCTTGCTCAGTCCAACAGCTTCTAATCTTCCCTGTTCTGTGAAAGGAATGTGATGGAGCCATCACTGTTTGATACTGTATTAGAGAATAAATAAAAAATTCTCAATCAAGAGAATTGTGTTAGTGAGTCTTCAACAATGCATTACTGACCGTGACCAGGTTGATGAGTGAGACAGCATTGTAGTCAATCCCCCACAGGGTCATGACCCCAACGGTATCCACGGTGATCATGACAATGGTGAGAAGGTTGAGCAGGCCTGACAACAGGTCCATGCCCAGCAGGATGCAGCACACAACAAAAGTAGGCAGGAGACACATTGAGATGCTGAAGATGCCCTCTGGCACAATGGAGAGGTACTGCTCGTAGAACACGTAAGTGATCCTGGAGGACAGATGCAGAAATGCATTTATGTGCTTTAAGGTCCAGTAAGTTCAAAAACTGCACAGTTCATAAAACTGAAAGTACCAGTTCAAGAAATGGTAGACATTCCATAACACACCCTCAAAACTGTTGACATCTGTGACGAGAGACCCCCCCCCAGAGAGGGATTTTAACTTTTAAAAAGACCTTAAAGCACTTGAGTCTTAGTCTAGAAAACCCCAGGTGTGTCTAGCTCTGGGGTCTCCAGGTGCCCCTGCACAGTAGTTCTTAGGGGTGACGGGGCTCGTACGTGTAAGGGAAAACCTCAAAGTCGGGGTCTGTGCCCAGGATCTTCCTCATGCCCATGGTGATGTTCTCCGCCAGCTTTCGGGCCTTCTGCAGAGCGTCAGTGAACTCCTGAGAGTTGGTCAGAGGGGTGTGATAGGCCATGAACCGCGAGGCTGCCGGAGAAAAAGAAGGCAGGGTTAGTCTAAACAGTTTCCAACACACACACATTCCCTGATATGGGGGATTAAATATCTAGCTTCTTCTCACGGGTGTCAACAAATATTCTGTGCTGCATGCGTTTTCTTCATCAGCGTGCTCAGCTGTGCATTTAGCAAATCTTTGAATAGTGAAGTCATGTGAAATCTAAAAGCTGGGTTAATGTATTTTTCTTTTTTTAGAAATCCTCAGTACCATGCACATCTGCCAAATCTATCCATAATCACAACTCTGGTTAAATAAACTGATTCTTACCTATCACATCTCCGTTCTCATTCCTCACCACTGCTTTGTCATAGGCCCCCAACCCTCTGTGGAGACAGAATGGGGGCTTTTAGCAGATACAGGTTCAAATGGACTGACTAGGTCTAAAGGTTTTCTGGGACATTTATTTTGTGGGATTTGTCACACAACTGCAAGTGGGACTTCTCTTGAGCCGAGAGCAAACCTTTGCTCTTTGCAACAATGTCTGAAAGGAGCACAGTGTCAGTCGCAACATCAAAGTGTGATTTTTGGGCTAAGTGAACAGAAAAGCCACAGAAAAAGATTAAAAGTTGAAAGTGGACCACAAGAAGCAGAGTATTCTGGAGGCGAGGAACAGCTGGGCAGGATGGGTGCGCTCTCTTCACTCACCCCTTCGAACACTGCAGGTTGGGCCGATCATTCAGGAAGTAGGGAAGGTACTTGTGGAATTCCGTCACGTTAGGCCTCAGAACACCACTCTCAGGAGATTTCATACACCTCTTCAGGCACTTCAGGCCAGCTGCCAACATAAGATTTCAAACTCTGCATCCATTATGAAAGCCTCTAATGTGAGTACCACATGTTTCATACTGTACACACTGATTTTGGGACTAATGTGCATTTCAGCAGTTTGGTTAGATTCTAATAGATTCTAATCAGTGCAATAGAGGGTTGAGTGTGCGAGAGGTCATTTGGCGCAACTTTCCTAGCTGAGAGAATGAGTGCAAGGATGAGATTGATCAAATCCCCTCCACTTTCACAAGGAATGAGTTAGGGAGCTGCCTCAAGGGTGGAGATGGGTTCCCACACATCTTCCCCGACATCTGTTATGTTATCTGAATGTTTTGCCTTTAGCAAAACATTCAAAACACTTTCCAAATATGACCAAAGAGACCACAAAATTAGAAGGTGCTTAACATACAGTTTATATAATATACATAGATATATATGTTAGGTGTTATTATTGAATTATGAGTTAATCTGACAACAAGGGCGCCAAGTAAAAGTGCTTAGGTCTCTTACCTGAAAATAATACGTTTTTTCTTTAAATAATAGTGTACAGTAAATATCAGTGAATTTTCAGAATGTGCATTGAACTCCACAGTTTCATAGAGCATTTGTGAAAAATAGGACCTACTCTCATTTGCTGGGCAGAATTGTCCAAAGTGAGACCCAGATGTGTATAACCGGCAGCATCTGGAGCCTGGATTGAGCCAGTCAATGAAGTCATCAACCCAAGAGGAGGCTGGGATAGCAAGGTATGATCTGAACACAGAGACAGAAACAGGCACGTGAATGGAGCGAGTTACTTTTAGAACTTAATCAGTAAAGGGGGAGCACTTGGGCACTCATAAGTGAAGGGTTGCAGGTTCAAATTCCAGGTTAGAAACAGCTGTTATACTATCAAGGGAAGTACTTCACCCAAACTGTTCTAGTAATATGTCCAGCTGTGTAAATTGACACAGATGTGACCCATTTTGGATAAAAGCATCAGCCAATTTATGAAAGTTGTGTTATTGTTACCTGTATGTAATTTAGCACTTATCTATTATAAATGTCAATTTAAATTAAAAAAATGAAAAGTACTGCATATCGTTTTAGAGCCACTTGCAAAGCAAAACACGAAATATTAATCCTTAACAGAAAACACTATAATATTTTATAAAGTTTGGTACTGTAAATGTATAGCCCTTTCAAATATCTCAGAATGAGCCTCTTTTTAATTCAGGCTATGTTCTAAAAGAGTTATACTGTATGTGGTTAATTATGGGTATGAATCTTAATTAGGCGGTTGTAGTTCAGGTGGGTAGCTGCGTCAGCATGCGTAGGCTGCAAAGGAACAAGTAATAGGTTTATTCCATGCTGAAAAAAAGAAGAAAGAGAACACAACGTTTCGGCCGTGGAGCCTTCTTCAGGTGTGAATCTTAATTATATTGGCCTCACAAGAAGGGCGAATGTGAATTCTTAAGACAGTTCCATGTTCTGCAGGATTGTGATTAGCTGAAGAGCTTATTGATACTGGAACCCATAATGCCTTTCAAACACACATGTATCCTATAGACTTTATATATACAGACATTTTCATCCTTAAGTATCAAAAGCAAAAGGGCAGTGCTTACTCTTTGGGGAAATTAGTGGCATACTGGATTTTCTGGGTGAGAGAGTAAGGATCACATCCAACACTTGAGCACACTCCATTCATCCCACTGACACTGGCGAAGTTGTAGCCCCCTGTGGTGACGAAATAGGTTGGGACGCCCACCTCAAAATACTTGTACAGGTACTTGAAATACTCCAGCATGTACGAGTCCTGTGCCAAACAGAGAGAGCATGGTGGCGGTCAAATCTTCATTTGCATCATTTTGGGACCAAGCTGAGCTTTCAATTAAAATATGAGTTGGTTGCCCACTTAAATGTGAGTGATGCACACTGGCTGTCAAAACAGTGTGTGTCAGCTCTGATGACGGACTTTTGCCATCACTGAATCTGTGCTGCTCACGACTACAGTTGGCACTCATCTAACTGCTATCGAATAGCTTTACACTGCCCACTACAGTGCTACCAGCTCAGTGCTGGTTCAGTGTTAGTATCTGGGCAGGTGAAGTTTAACCATTGCTTGCTATGCCCCAGAGCTCTGGAATTCAATCACCTAGGATATCAGAGAGTCCTTCCCTGAGAGCTTTCAAATACAGACCCAAAACATTCTTCAGAAAGGCTATTTGATATCAGTGTCTGCCCCTTTGTTTTTTCTTTACATTCTAAACACTTTTTTAATTATTCTGTTATCTCCTCTCCTGTTTTTTTCTTATTGTAAAAGCACTGAGATGCTACTTGACAAGACACTATTATTATTGCTTGATATTAATTGATACTTTAGACATGATACTTCTGCCATACATTGTTTTGGCATTGCACAACTGAATACAAAACTTTTTCCAGCACACACCAAATACTGAAGCATCTTTTATCTGTGGTGCAAGTGACAAGATGTGGAAATCTAAACAGAAAAAAAAACTCACCTGGGGCAGAGCCAGTTCCTGATCCAAACCCACTTTCACATGGAACATCAAGAAGATTCCAGAGCAGAAAATGAACAGGAAGAGAACCATCTGGGAGGAGACACAAGGCACAGCAGTAGATTTTAGCCACAGGGTTGGAAAAGGAATTGTGGTGCAATTCATACATGGTGGTACTTCAGGATTTAAGAGAGTGTGTGGAAAAAAGAAGGTGCAGTATCCTCACCAACCTGTATTGGCTCATTGGGTAACAGTGTTAATCATAGTATTAGTAGCTACTGTATATCACTCTGCAACATACAACTGGCAACCCCCACTGACCTCCTGGAAAAGCTAAGGTTGCTACTGGAAGAGCTGTTATTGGGACCAGACGGGATCACTCACCCTGCAGTCTGTGTGGCACTATACTGTAATAAGGTGCCATCCTTTGGATGAAACATGAAACCGAGGTCCTGACTCTTTGTGGTCATTAAAAATCAATCATGGCCTCATATTAATCCCCATCTATGACTTGGCTTAATTGCTCTGTCCCTATCCCAAATGATGGCTGATGTATGGTGAACGTAGTGGCGCACTATGGCTGCCGTTGCATCATCCAGATGATGGAGGGGAGTCTCCTTTTAGTGGATCTCCCAGAAAAGCTCTATATCCATGTATTATTATTATTATTATTATTATTATATTGCCATGATGTGTCATGTTGTCCCTTCAACCACATTCCTCATGGCAAGAGTGACACCTGCTGTCCAATTACTATACTGCAGGTCATCCTGCAGCAGATCGCTGGACCTACCACAGCGACCCTGGTGACGGTGTGCAGCAGGAAGGGGGCGTAGTAGCGTCTGATGGCGGGCAGCAGGAAGCCCTCGCTCTTGCCCTTCTTCTCGGAGCCGCCCACAGTAACACAGCAGAGGACGTCGCAGCGGGAGGCGTCCTGCCGCCGCGCGTCCAGGGAGAGCAGCGCCACGAAGGCCGTCATCTGCAGGAGGAAGTCCATCAGCACGGCGAGCGCGGCGTAGAGGGCGAAGGACTTCACCGCCGGCATGCTGCTCAGGGCTCCTGCGACGGCAGAGAACACACCCCTCACCAGCTGCTCCACACTTTTTACCTTCCTGGCAGCATAATAATTGCTTGCACTTATATAGCGCTTTTCTGGACACTCCCCCCAAAACGCTTTACAGGTAATGGGGACTCCCCTCCACCACCACCAGTGTGCAGCCCCCACCTGGATGATGCGACGGCAGCCATAGTGCGCCAGAACGCGCACCTCACACCAGCTATCAGTGGGGAGGAGAGCAGAGTGATGATCTCCAGTGGGCTGCCAGTTGTGAGCTGCAGGGTTCTGTTGTGACTGCTGGATGTTTCGCCCTAGTTAAGGTTCTGCCACGGTGTTTTAGGCATGCCAGTTTGTTTGGAGGGTCTTCAGATTTGCAGGAAGAGATCGGTGGGTGACTCTGTGCAGTTGTCACTGCTAACACACAACCTGCCTTTTGTGTACTACAGAGAATGCGCATGTACACAGCACCTCTCAGACTTGCTCGATTACAAAGAAGTTTCTCTTACTTGCCCACAGGGGTTTCTACCAGTTCATCATCAGCAGTGACTTGATATTTTGTTTCTAAAACAACGTTAAGAAGGACAGCAGATCACTTTACCGCTTGAAGGATCCCAAAAGAGAAGGAAGGGGGGATTTTGCTTTTTTAACCCAGAAGTGACCTCATCATATTTCACAGTCTAACATTATGACAGACTCCATTCTCACCTAAGAAGAAGCAGACGGACTCGGAGAGGCTGCAGAGAAGCATGCTGGGAGCCACGCTGCCCAGTACTCGACCAATCTGTGCCTCTCTCTTCTCCTCTGGTTTCCGCTCATCCCTCTGTCAATGAGAACGAACTGCTCATTCAACAGCAGGTGACAGCTAAACTGCTCCGGAGACAGTAATGGCCTCCACATGCATTTGATGCGGCTGAGTGTCACCTTGGCTTACATCTAATGGCAAGCCCATTTACTGCGGAGTTTACACTCCACAATTTTTCCAAGTGTTGATTGACTAAATGCATTTTTTAAAGTAGGTAAGAGCAAGGAGGTGAGTCAGTGTGCAAGCTGCAAAGCAACGAGTAGAAAAGGAAATGGAAACACTCAAAAGCTCAGTGTTTTGGCTGTGATGCATTATGGAAAACCACACATCTCAAGGCGGCTCTGCAGCTCAAAGTAAAAGCTGAAAAGAGTTTTCTTTTCAAGTTCAAGTACAATACATTATTGCCTTAACCACTAGTTGCATGCAATTTGGTTTGGTGAGTTCATGGATTCAAATGCCACACAACACAAATATACAACATAAAGCTAATAATAAACAGCATCAATCCAATACATCATCACATAACATCCTAAACACACACCAATAACGTTATAAATAGCAGTGAGTTTTTATTTTTGCATTAACCATTTTTGAATGTCTCAATGACATAAAATGAATAAGAATTTCTGCTTTTTAAAAAAATGAAATGAAATAATACTCACTGAATAAAGATTTCTTTATTCCAATCAATAAAGGAAGGAAATGGTGAACATTTTTTAGAACTTCTCATCCGTGACATATTTATTAAATATTTAATATGCACATATAAGAAAAAGTTTTCCAGTTTCCAATTGGAAAGTCAAACGATGAGAACCCTTGCTGACCTGAAACTCCAGGACGAAGATGAAGATGTTGTCAGCTCCCACTGCAAGCACCAGGAAGGGCACGACCTGCAGGATGACCAGGGAGGATGGGATTCCTATCCAGGCGTAAAATCCCATGGAGGCCAGGACAGAGCAGCCCACAACCAGAATCCCCCCCAGGCCCAGCAGCAACTTGGAGTCAACCTGGAGCACAGCAACCAAAACACTATCGTCACCCACCAGCCAGAGCTAGGACCTACTTTACCAAAAGTGGGGTTCCCCATTCCTGCACGGCCAGGCTAGGGATACCTGCTGGGCCCTGGATGAACCAGACACTTTGAGAAAGGATGTGTCACGGACGTCCAAAGGGACTAACCGTGGGGAGCAGGAGAGCGGAAAAAGACCCATATGCGTAGCGGCGAGACGGGAAAAAGGCCCGGGCTCATTAGTGCAAAGAGTTCAGGAATGCCGTATAGAAACCTATGCCCTCAGGGAGCGGACGTGGGGCGCCCTGGTGCTAGGCGGGTCTCAGGACATCCGAACGTCAATGCTGAGCCAGGACAGAGTGCAAGACCCGGAAATATATAGCCCAAGGGAAAGAGAGGGACAGGAAGGACAGCAGACCGGAAACTAGGGACAGGTCAGAGAAGGAGCGCCCTCTGGCTGCAGAGGGCGTGACAGGATGGTTGTTGCACGTTGTCTTAAAAGTAAAACAAATGAACTTTTAAACTAAAAAGAATGACACCATTCTTATCCTCTTTTTGTCAATCCAAGCTTCTGTGGATCACAGCCGAACAGAATTACCAAGAGCTGAAGTAGCAAGATGCATGAATTGTCCAGAGGGCAAATCTTAGATCATAAATGGTGTAATTGCAAAATAAGAGCAATAAAATAAAGGATAGTGACAGCATTGTTCAACGCTAATAGCAATGACCTTGTACATAATGTTCAGATATCAATGGACAACTGCCAATAACCCTATTGCACTGGAAATATTTTTTTGGAAAGTATTGCCAGCATAGCACCAATCAAATCAACTGGCACAGACATTACTGATTAACTAAGGAGGAAATGAAATTATTTCTAGATAGGCATCCTTTAAAAAGTAATTTCTTTGAATTGAAAGGCATAGCTATAAAAGCTAATTTAATAAGCAGATATATTTTAAAGTCTAATCTGGAAATGAATCTCTAGTTCAAGCCGTATTCTCCAGTTGGACCAGTTAGCAAAGACAGAAATCACTTTCTTTGGGTTTCAGATTTTTAACTTCTGAATTTTGGTTGACACTGCAATTGCAGTACATGGATGATTCTGTACAATGTTAAACATGATGAAAATTGTGTTTATCTCATATTACGGAATATTATTGTGGGTATACTGTGAAGGGACTAAGTCTTTCTCATGCCTGTTCAGGTTTGATTTCACTTCAAAGCAGCTCTGGTATGAAGACGCTGAGTGATGAGGTCATTGCCTACCAGTATTCTCCTGCAGGAAGAGTACTCCCCCAGCGCTACAGCGATGTACACGAAGATCACAAGGTAGCTGATCATGAAAATGGGAATGTCTTCCATTGTTGTTCGGTTGATTTCATCTTCCAAAGATCTCTGAGGAATAACAAAAAGAAAGAGAAAAGAAATCAAAAGAGATAAATGCATAACTGCAACACTTCTTTTTGTACTTTGGGGTAAAAGTTCTGTTGTTACGTTGACTTGTTGGTCTTGCGGTTTTGTCCACGAGTTTCTTTCTACAACATCTGACTGTAAAACATGTACAACCTCCAGAATTGGCTTTTTTCTGATGATTCAACTGTGTAATCAACCCTTCCATCCACATGTCCTCTCATCTGTTCCATTCATAGGGTGATTTGAAAGGGAACGCAGCACATTCCCTTTCAGCAGTCAGAATTAAGATCTGTAAACAGAGAGCTCAAAAAGGGGACATAATTCCATCTTTAAAAATCCTCAAAGGCATCAAAAAAGTCAACCCAATGAACGTCTTCAGAATCGACAACGAAAAGTTAACCAAATGGTAGAAATGGAAACTAAGGACAGGAGTATTAAAAATGAGAACAGGGATTTTGTTTATGCAATAGGCATGGAACAAGCCGCCCACCCATACTGCCAAAGCTGATACCAATTGGAGAAGAGCACCCTCTCAACTCTAGGCTCTCTTACGTTCTGATGTTAAAACAAATCAGAGTATATTTCACCTCTGGGGCCATACCTCAGCCATGTACGCAAAGGTGAAGTTGGTAGAAGGATCCCTCTGGTACTCTTGTACGATATCCAGAAACATCTGTTCCCAGATCTGGACCAGCTTGAACCTGACGTCATTACGGGGGTAATTGTTCAGGGAAAACGTGAGAATCAGAGCCTCAGCATTGGTGTAGTCAGAACCTGAAAGGTAGGAGGGGGAGGGGGGGGTCTGTAGTCTGACCTCAGTGAGCTTCCCAAAACTTTGTCCAGCTGAGAGCTACAGTACAATTCCATGCAAACAGATTAATCTAACTTCCACTAAAACACCTTTATCCCATTTGTCTTGTTCTAACAATCAGTTTGCCCAGTTTATTGTGGTGGTAGTGTGAAGTGGCTTTCAAGTAAAGTTGTGTTACAGATGCACAATACCTTCCATCCATTCATGTAATCAATCACATCAAAAACAGAACCACAATGAAGAACATGTGTAGTACCAACATCTCCTTTGTTTTTGTCAAACAGACCCTTCATTTACTTCTTCAATATTTACTTAATGGGACAAATGTATCCCTTTTCCTCTGCGTTTCTGTTCCTCTGTGTTGTTGGCTCAGAGGTGCTTTAAGATGACACCTTCAAAGCAAGAGGAAACCAGACGAAGCCAGAAGAACTTTGGAAGGCAGGATCTAGCCCTTATAAGCCCTTTGTCTACGTCTTTACCTTCATATCCTCCAACTGCCAGGAAGGGGAAGACAGGAGCTCCGTAATCTGCCATGCAGCTCAGTGAGAGGTCTGTGACATCTTGGAAAGACAGTGGAGAGCTGGCAAAACACATTACAGGGATGCAATGCAAGTGTTGCTAAAGAAAAAGATTACACAAGCAGCAATGATCTTTTTATACAGCTTTTAGTGAAGCATGAACAATCAGTGCTGATTGACACCTATGAATATGTGCAAATTATTAACACACTTTATGTTGAAGAGGGGACCTACGTCAGTGTATGAGTTGTTCAGATCCTTGTGGATCCGTATACAAAAAGTTTTTATGTTTCCCATTAGACCTCCTGAGATAGAAAGGATCAAATACTCTCCACTCATTTGTTACCTTTGTCGTGTTCTTAGATCTGTGCTATATCGGCCATAGGAACAACAAAACAATGTGGGCTTTCAGCTAAAGCATTGATGGTCAGATCAGTCGTTCACACTATATATATAGAATTTATCTAAAAAGTTCACATGGAGTTATGCAAAATAATTACAGTTTTATGGCACCCAGGAATTAAGAACATTGTTATCAGCGACCATGTACAGTTAATTAAAACCATTGCATATTTACCTATTCTTATGGTCTCATATGAAAACAAAACAAACCAACTGAAAACCAGAACTGCTTTATTATACTAACAATAAATGTGAAAAGATGTGTTAAGCTTTGCACCAAAGCATTTTCTCACTTTTTCATAGGAACTTAAACCTGTTAGAACAAAACCAATAGCTAAGACACACAACAATGTTGTCTATGTATCTTACAAGGAATGCCCTTGGTTAATGGTGTCTGTTTAACAGCATGCTGTTACTATGTCATTTAGATGGCCCCTAATACTGGTAACATCGACTTTACATACATATAAAGTAAAATCTGAAAGTTCTATAGATAGTTTCGCCCCTCCTGGTATTATTGAACAGAAAGAGGGACTGTATCCAATGGAAAATAAATGTGGATGGGAATGGGAATGAGGTAATGTCAGTGTGGTACAGAATAAAGAGCCCTGCAAGAAAACAATTCATTATTCAGATTTGAACTCCAGCATGACTTTAAGAATCATTTTATTAATAGTGCTTCTGTATACTCACTTAACACAGTATATGAAGTGGTCCCTCCAATCCACCTCCATTGTCTTCCCTTCCTCTGTCATGTTGACTTTGGCATCCAGATTTTGCTTGCTATTCTGAAAGTACTGTACCAAGCTGTTAACTGCACAGTCAGTGAGGGCTGGGTTGCTGGGGTTAAGAGGAGCAAAGCAGATATCACTTAGGGTGACATTTCTGCCATAGTCCTCTGACCAAAACTCGATGGACTGCAAGCGGGTCTGCAGTTCTAGGAGTTGGAGGATAAGATCTTTTGAGATGATTCCACTGAAATTTTGCTTCCCAAAGAGCAGTGAGTCGTAGGTGTAGCCTGGGCGGCCGGGGGCAGTCAGGATCAGCTGGTTGGTGCGGAAGAAAGGGTCAAAGTGTTTATCATGGAAATCCTTCTCCTTTCTGGCCCGGCTGTTGGGAGCCGACCAAAGCTGCACAGGATCTGTGGTCAGTTCGATTTTCACAAGGCCCGCGGCAAAAGCTGAAACGATAACTAGCGAGATTATTATGACCTTGATGGGGTGGGAGGCCATCAGGGTGCCCCAACTTTGGAAAAGACTCCCCAGGAAATGCTGAGTGGCCAGGCTGGCTCTGTCTTTGAATCTCACATCTGAGGGGAGGACTTCTTTTCTCACCACATTGTCGTTCTTGTCTTTCCCTTTGTCTTTGCTTCTTCCCCTGCAGAGGTTCCTCACCAAAATGAACCCCAGGAATGACAGGCTGAGTGCAATGAAGACCACCAGGCAGAGCACCAGCACGCCATCCAACTGTCCAATTTTGAAGGCCCCTGACGAGGACACCGGAGGGGCATCAATGAGACAGGACTCGATGCAGTCCTGACAGGAGCAGGCTTCTCCTCCAAGGGATGTAGATTCATTGCAGCGCTGGGCCCTGCCATTGTAGGGCACGATCCCTTGACCAACAGTAGTGCCTGCGGGGATGAGGCGGAAGTCAATATCCAGGGGGGCCAGACCATTGCTGCTATCTCCCTGGAAGTCCAACCAGCGTTGCGTGTTGCAGCGGGTGGCACCATACCTTCCACACATGGTGGCAATGGCAAAGCCCCCGGTCGAGGGGATGCGCACGTTTTTGCAGGAGTTGAAAGAATCATCTGCAAACTTTCGGGACAGATATGCCTGGTACTCCACTACAGCTTCCTTTTCCTCTGCGTTTATTGTGACATTGACAGTCCTGGTGATGTTGATGTGCAGACTCTGGTTGGGGCTGCAGGTGTTGATGCAATGGATATGGGCAAAGTTCTCAGCACAGGAAGGACAGCGGACCAGGAGGGACTTAGACAGGGTGAGGCTTTCCTCCAAAGACTTGAGTTGGTTGATGGAGCAGCAAGCGTAGGTGTTGTTCTCCCCATTGTCAAGCATGGGACACACATCCTTGAGCCTCTGGTAGTGCAGACTGCTCAGCTTCCTTGCTGGTCCTCGATAGACACAAGGGATGATGGGCTTGATCAGGCTGATGTTGATGGATGGATTGCGACCACACTCCTCATAAAACGTGCAAAAGCCTTCCTGATGGATGGCATTTGAGACAACCTGGGGAACCCAGAGCACAAATGCTCTAGAATGTTTTTTCGTCACAAAATACAAGCTTAATTCTGAATCAATTTTTTAATTAGCTCAGCTCAACACCCAAACCCAAGTTCTTGCACAGCTGGGACAATGTCTGCACATGTGATTTGTGAGGTCTGATTTACATACTAAAATCTGATCACCAGTGAGAGATATGAATGATGGGTAAGACTGTAGATGCCACTCTAAGCAATTACACTGTGATTTCACTGGCATCTAGTAATTCCTATGTCCACAGGTGCATGACAGTGCATAGCAAGCTGAAGACATCCCTGGAGTGGATTAATTCTGGCCACAAAAACGTAACCAACATGCTCTAGTAATACAACTCCACGACATGCACATGCTTTTGTGGGTTTGGCCACTTACAAGCCCGTCTTTCTTTTTAAAAATCAAATAACAGAAAAAAAGCAGATTAGCAAAAGTTAGAAAATACTGTAAGCAGAATCGTGGTTCCTACATTATGACTTTACTTAGCTGTGATATTCAGCACAATATACAACATACGCCTTTCTCGATGTTTCAAATACAGAGACAAAAAAAGAACCGCAGCGTGTAGAGTTTCCTAAATATTTCAATGTACTAAGCATTTTGACTTCACCTTGTTACAAGTCAGGAGTGAAAGTTTGGCTTGGTTCACTTTACACTTGTTAGTATTATCCATAAGGAACACAAATTTCCATAAAGCTATGAATCACAAATTATATCTTATCGGTAGTGCTATTATTTTAATCATTCCATGCAATTTTATCTGCTGTGTCACTGAACAGTGCGTAAGCCTCTGGACTCATAACTGATAGGCTAGAAGTTCAAGTCCTTGCTGTAGACACCGCTACTGTAACCTTGAATGAGGTACTTTACCCTAATTATTCCAGTCCACCCAGCAGTAAAAATGGGGACCAGCAGTACTGCCCAACACTAGCCCTGGCCTGATGAGCCACTGTGCTCTGGTGTAGTTTGATTTTGTTGACTTTTTACGCAAATTTAGACTTTACGTATACTATGTGGTGTCAGTCCTTCAACCATTGCTGCTTCACACACAAAAAATAAGAAAGCTGCTGAGAAAATCTTGGTCTCTGAGAGACCATGTTCTGTCCTGCCACACAATATAAACACAGTAACCACAAACCATATTTTTACTTTTTTTTTTACATCAATAGTTCCTTGTGTACATATGTCACTTCATGTAGTGAGCACAGAGGTCTGTGGAATGATTGAGTTGCATTGCTCCTTTGGATAACAAAATACTAAATTCTGTAACTGATTTTATAACAAAAAGCAAATAGTGTTTCAATTGTCAAGGTTAGTTGATTCAAAATATATAGTAAAGGCTACACAAAAAAGAGACACTATTACTTACTTTAAGAAAAGTGAAATATATATCCATATCACAAGTAATTAAGATAGACTGGCTGTTAGGTAGTGGACAAATGCTTCTCCTGGCCTGAATTATGTGGGTCCAATTCACTTAACTATATCATACAGTAACAGCATAAGAAAGGTTACAAATGACAGATAACCATTTGACCCATCTACTCCATTTGGTAAGTAGTGCATATGTGATCTGAAGATCTCATCCAACTGTTTCTTCAAAGAAAGCTATCGAAACAAAATATTGGGTTGACTCGCTTGATCAGAGCTACGGTTTAGGCTTGTTATGAATGTTTCTGAAACCCACTACATTTTCTGGTTCTATAGGTGAATTAATGGAATAATTAATCTATAGGTGATCATAGTATCTTCGTGAAGTTGTTATGCTGGCTACAAAAGCCTCCGTTCAAACACCGCATTATCCTGTCTTGTTAAATATAATAAATATTGTTAGAAAATGACCTGCTTGTCAGTGACATCACTTGTTGGTATTATTTAGAATTTAGAATCGCCACAGAGTGGGCACAAGAAGCAGGAAATTGAAAAGAAGAAACCGAAGTCAACAGGAAGTACAAAATCCTGCTTCCGATTACTTACTTGGTGTAGACCGAGGACGCACAAGACAACGACAAACGCGGAAGTGTTCATGTTGTTACTCTGGACCTTGCTTCAGCGGGGACGGAGTGTGGGATAGAGGGGCAGTTTTGACGAGAGGCCAGGTGTCAAGTACGCTGCTCTGTCTGGCAGGCTGTTCAGCCGTGCGACAGACGAGCAGTGTTTGTGAATGTGCACTCCCAGCCTTGATAGAAGGAGTTTTATTCCTGTCTAGTGTTCTTTATCTGGTGTGATGCAGACACATCCAATCCTGTCAGAGCTTCTAAATAATCATTGATAAAGTGGTATGTTTGTGTTGGCATGTTATCAGGCTTAGGAGATAAACATGCTGCATTACTGTAGTGGAAGAGGCTCATGTGGGCTTTCCCAGATATGGCATGGTCTTGGGGAATTTTAAGCATTTTCTAATGTTTAATTAAAATATATTGTGTATTGTTCTGAAATTTACTATGATTCTTTGTTCACCACATCTTTTCATACACATGAGTTTACCTGCTGTAAACCAGCGTATGGGTTCTGAGATATACAGCTCACTCTGGAATGCTAAAAAACAGATTTCTATCAGTGTTCCCTACATTTCATTTCAAGGACTGTTGTTTACTGAATGCATTTTCTCTCATTTTCTTGTGCTACAGCACGTGTATAGAGTTTATATAGTAGTAATTTAATATCTTTACCAATTGGGCTTAAAGATGAGTACTTTAAATAACATTAAATCAACATTCCTGATATCAAGAAGGACATGAGACACTTTTGCAGTGACTAAGAGGCACTTAAAGGACATTTTAACAGTAATGTTCTGTACCTCCCTGCCTTGCAGCTGTTGCTTGCTGGGACTGTCTCCAGCTCGCTCACAACCCTGAAGTGGCAGAAGTGGTTAGAAAATGGTGGATGATTGTTCTGTGTCAGTGTTGCAGTTCATTAATGACCCATTTCATGGATGCTTGGGTGTGTATTGGGCACCTGTGGGCACTGGGGGCCTCAGAAGAATGCGCAGCTGAATGGAAGTAGTCCACAGGGAGCTCTGGGGTGTCTTGGGAAGTTAGACTGCACAAAGTGAAAGCTGAGTTTAGAGGCCATATAAAAAGTCGTTATTTCTCAGAGTTTCATGTTAAATGGTGTCTGTCTGTTTCTGCTACACTTTCTCTGATGAAAGCATCTCTATTTGGATTTGACCTTAGTTCAACATTATTTTAGCTCCATTTATGTTTTTTTTTCACTATTTATACTATTAATATTTTGGCCTCACTTCCAACCTGTACAGCGAAATTCAATCTAATCTCAATGCTATCTCAGATGGAGCCTGGAGAATGTTACTCCATTCTTACTGCATTCACTTCATATGAAAAAGTAACAGAAGATGCCAAATATTGATGTGGTTCACATTTTGCTGTTTGTCTTCCCCTAGGTGAGTTTTCAATTATTCAGTCTCCTAACAGAAACTTCAGTTATCAATCGCACCATAGTGATGGAGTAAGAATAAAATCATACTTTTATTTACATTTTAAGAAGTGAACAGATAAGTTTGTTGTTTGAGAAGTAGTACTGTTCTTCTGATTAACAAAATACTAAGATCAAACCACAAAAAAACAGCCGTGTGGAGCAGTGGTTAGGGCTCTGGATTTGTAACTGAAAGGTCGTGCAGTCGAATCCCAGGTGAGACACTGCTGTTGTGCCCTTGAGCAAAATAACAAACCACATTAATGGTCAATCACCTCCAGAAAGTTTTGATTTCTAAAATTGCTGAAAAGAATTTAAACCCACATTTAAAAAGACTCAATAACAGCACAATATAAGAATTGCTAATGGCATCCGAAAGCAGCCTGTTTGTGAAAAGCAAATCGGTTTATCTGCTTCAGCAATAAGCAGACTGTGAACAGAAAATATGTAATGCATGTCTCTTACTTTAATGATTCATTCAACACAAGGACTCCTTCAAGCATGTTGCCAATAGCAGACTAACATTTTGTTGGCAGATCTCACAGTCGTAACTTAATACCACTGTGGTTGGTGAAAATACATAATCAACACCCAGTTGCCATATTAATTAGCCCCGATGGGACTAATTAATACGAGAGCTGATGAGGATTACTACACCAGCTTGGCCACATCAGGAAAGCGGTTGTAGCTCATCGTCTGTATGAAAATGATCTGTGTGCTTGGAGGACTTCAGGGGTAGTGTTGACTGTTGAGAGGTGAAATTGCTGTCTCCTGTGGTTCAGGAAACATCTGAAGTGGAGTCTGAGAGAATGGTGGAGGGCTTTGTTCAGCAGTAAATCCTGTTTGGATCTCGGCAGACCTGTTGGAAGACTCCTTTAACAAAAGATTGTGTTTGGCGCATGTTGAGAGTATCTTCACTGCTCCTAGTGATAAAGAAAAATTATTATTATTTTTTGTTATTATTACTAATCAGGTTTTACAAGCTGGAGACTCATAAAAACTGTGAAAAACATTACCAGATACCGCATATATTAAAATGATTAAATAATTGACAGTAAAATAAACTCCACTTAGCATGAAATAATACTAAATATATTAATTGATACACTTGTGCAACAGTCCCTCAGCTTTCTTACCCTGGGTGGTTAAAATGGATTAAATTGTTGTACAACAGGAATCCTATTTGCTTTCTTGAATACAGACACATCTTCTGTAAATATGCAGTCCAGAAAAAAGAACCAGTGCTTCCACAGGGGAATACCAGGTATAACTACAATGAGTCTTTGTTTTGCCCAAGTTTCAGTTCATGCATCCAGTTTCTAACTGCTTTATCCAATACATGGTTGCAGGGAAGCCGGAGCCTATCCCAGCAAGCAACAGGTACAAGGCACCATACACCCCGGATGGGTCACCAGTCCATCGGAGGCATTCCTAGTTAAATCACCAATGTCATTCTGAAGAATTAAGCATGTTTTTTTATTCAAAATCTTTTGAAAAAAATAACCTGGGTTCTACAAGTTTTGAAGAACTGCTGGCCTTTTGAGACTCCTCAACAAATTGTTCAATTTATATATAAGGCAAGTTAAGATATGGATGAGCGATGCAACGGAATCTGCTTGATTGTGGCTCCAAAAGGACCGGAATTCATTATGCTCCCGCTAGAAAGATAATGAACTTTTTGAGCAGAGCTGCACAGGTGGCCCTGAATTCTCCCTTCTGGACACTGAAGATCCACGCTGTCAGTTCAGCACAACTTTTATTCCCTGCATCCCATAAAGTCAACAAGGCACTGACAATGGTGAAATGTAGAAAGGAGCCTAAACAAACAGTGCTGTAGATGGATAGGTTAGAAAAGAAACACTAACCTTATCAGAAACTCTGCAAGGTCAAGATGTGAAAATAAACTTTGGATTTAGAGCGGAGTCGCTCTAAAGGCCTTCTGCTGCAGAATTGAACCCTGGGCCCCAGCGCTGTGGGTGAAAGGGTAGTCACAGCCATCCTAGTGTAGCTTTCCTCTGAAATGCAACTAGGAAATGTTCATTGAAGGGTGTTAACTGTCAGGACCTTGTACTTTGCACATAATTCACCCTATGTGGCTTGCTCACTCACACTCACTATTACAGATAATTACATACAAATTGGGAACTAAATCATGTACGCAGTCAGTCCCTGGCATCAATAATGTGATGTCCTG